TCCTGCTGACAAAAAAAAGCTCATTTTTATTTGTTCCAATAAGATACAAGGAAATGTTTTTACTGATTTTTCTCAATTCAGCAGCCAAAGTGAATATATAATCCCTCACAATCAGACTGCAAACATTAAAAAAACATAAGCAAACAAAAGCAGAAAGATGTGGTGAGCCATGGGTGTAACCATCAGCTCGTAGTGGGTCACCGTTTTCGTGCTTTGCAGTCTTGGCCTGTGCAGACACCAGTACACAGATACAGGAGGCATCCAGGAGCATGCCAGAGCTACATAAAGCATCTTCTGTAGCTGATTTGCCCTCCCATATGACACTATTTCTGTGTGGTTTTGCTCTCTTCTATGCGGTGGAAAATACTGCTGGGTTGTCCAGCTCTCAGCAAACATCAGATAATGATTACATTCTTCCACAGGAATGTCTGCAGCCTCAGGAGAGGGGAGAGCGTTTGAGTGTCTTACATTGCCTTTTCTGTCTCTCCAGAAAGGTTTTTTGAAGACCATGAAAATGTTGTTGAAGTCTTATCGGCCTGGACTCGAGACACTGAGAATAAGATTCTGTTTTTGGAAAAAAGTGAAAAATATGATGTATTTAAAAATCCCCAGGTAAGCCAACATGGTAGTTGGATAACAGTCTAAAATTATGTCATGTAATCAGTATGCTGCCTATTGCATTATTAATTCGCTTTCAGCTCTGTCAGTTTGGAATTAGAGAATAGAAAACTTGTACTTTTGCAAAAAAAATCCCAGAGTATCAAATGCAAGGATTTGAAAATTAGTGCTTTGTGTTCTTTTCTGATACTACTTAAAGTCTACAGTGGTAAAAAATGAAGCATATAGTTCTCCACTGGTGCAAACTGTTGCTTGGGTACAGCTCTCAGAACTGGATTGAGATGGCACAGCTGTAAAAACCTGGCCATTACTACAATTTCCCCACTTTTCCTACTGGTGAAAGTCAACATTTCCTTGAAGGACCAGTTTTTGCCGGTTGTACATGAAACGTCATAAAAGGTGTGCTGAATACTACCTAATTCTACAGAAATACAGAGTTTATCTGAATCTCATTTAGACTGGGGAGAAGAATTGGAAGAATGGTAACATGCAAACTAACATTGTAGAAAAGAGGTTCTGCACACTATTGCATAAAATTATTTAGAATAAGTGTATACACAAATGATTTGTAGTGGTACATGGTCAAAACTGTATTTACAAACACTCTTGCACATACAGTCAATGTATTCTGGGTCACTCAATCTTTTCCCTTCTCAGCAGTCTGTTAGCTCATTGAGCATCTGGTTTGTTCCTGAGAGCAGCAAGAGAAAAATGAGCAATTTAGCATTGCTGAAAAAAAGAGTCAAATATATAATTTGGCAGCAAATTTCACCAAGCTGCTCATTAGGAAGTTTGGTTTTTTTAGAATGAGCAAGTGTTTCAAATAAAACCCACAGAGAGGAAGTTTTCTTCATTGACATAACCAGTATCCACAGTCAGGGAAAGAAAACTTACCCTGCAGTGTACGTGGATTGATGTTGATTTGTATACAAAAGAGTGAAGCCAAGTTTGGAAGTAAAGCATACATGGTGACTCAAGATGTCATGCTTTCCACTGCACATAAACATATCTAGAAGCAGAGGTTTGATTGTACATGTGATTTGTACACTGGTAAGCATTCTTTGGGCAGGTGTCTTAGAGCGAGGCTGGGAAACTCCTACAGGAAGTAATTTTTAATTAAGATTTTGAGCATTTTGATTGCAATGAATTTCAGAAATAAACATGACCTACACCAAAACCAGAATAAGAGTAGCTCTGTCCTCCCATCTCAGGACATGCTGAGCTTGATCTGGATGTGTCTGCAGTCCTTGAACCTCAGCCTCTCTGCAGTAACCTCTAAATTGAACAGCTTAAGGAAACTGCATCAGTTGTGGCTATCACACTACAGAAATATTTTGCTAGTAGTAACGTCTAACCAGCTGTCAGGCTTAGTAAATTCAAACATTGTGAAACAAGCACAGTAATACAGTCATAGTGGTGGCTTGTCTTTTTGGCAATCAGAAAATTGTTAGTATTGTACAGGCAGAGCTCACGCTAGGTACTGAAACATGGTGACATACATGATCTGGAGTGAAGTCCTTCAAGAGGAAACCAAGTAGAAATGAGGTACAGGGTGTGTGATTACTTAACTATTTACAGAAATTATGTTATAAACAATGGGAAACTGAAATCCAGTGCTCTGGTACTGTGTTCTCAGTGTATTCATCCTCCTCCTTCTAGCTCAGTCAAGATTGCCTGATAAACTCATTTTGTAAGTACAGAAATTGCAGAGTGGTTTTTTTTTTTGACACAGCCAGTGGTGCTAATGCAGCAGCAGTTGGATTCTTTGTTGGTCTATAGTGCTCATTTTGTCAGAGGTTGCCTGTGGAGGTCTCATGGTTTTGTAGCTTGCAGATATTTTTCAGGGAAAAAAAAGGTAAGTTCCAAAGGTGACCAGGTGTCTACAATTTATTCTGAGACAAATTAACAATACAAAATTTTCACTACAGAGATTTGATGCAATGAAATCCCTAAAAAAATCGTATTATAAACATGTCCAGATGCATTGCTAAAACAAGTGGTCCTCTGGAGAAGGTCTGTTACCTATGCCAATATTGTTTCTTTCTGTGAATGAGTTATATACCTGGTATAGATTAAACTACAATTAATTAAATGTGTTTAATTTTGTAAGGAGGAATTGAGTTTTGAAATGCAGGATTTTTCCCCTATGTGTTTGCTAGGAGCCTACTGCTCAGCTAATGCCAGTCTGTTTTTTGAAGATTGTCATTCTTTTCATGCAGTACACTCTGATACTTTTTCTGCAGCTTTGTTTCTAAAAACATTTTTTTAAAGTGTTTGAAATACATTTTAGAAAAAGCATCTGCAAAATCCTCAGTAGTCTCCCCCTCCTTAAGATGACAGGCACGCTTCAGCCCTTTTCTCAATGTGATATAATTTACCCTGCAGGGAACTCAAAGTAAAAGACTGTTCCATGAATGGCATCAGTGACTCATCTACACAGATGGAGTGTCACAAGTCTATGACTAAAAAGTGAAATGAAAATACATATTGGTACATGTGCAAATAAAGAAAACCTTTATGAAATGGGAAGGGTGATGCTTTGTCATGCAGTTGAGTGATGCTGTGCTTGACTCTTGAAAGGAAAGGCTGTCAGATCTCAACACCTCTTTTCAAAAAAAGAGAAAAATATAATTGTCAGTCAAGAGATCTAAAAAAAGACAATTGTAGGAAATGCTTTTGCATCATGTAAACAGTGTTATCTGTAAGGGGCAGCTGAATCAAAATTTCTGACTAAATGCTGGTAATGCTCTTATAACACTATATTTGATTTTGCTTACATAGATTTTGATTTCCCATGTTTCTCTTCTGCTGATACAAACAAACGGTAAATTCAGCAGCGCAGGTGACACTAGGTGCACGTGGGGTTTTTTGTTTGGTTGATTGTTTTTGTTTTGTAAGTTATTTTTTGACAGTTTATGAAAATTAATGATAATTTGTACAGTGAGTATTTTATGCTTCTGCTCTCTCATATGTAAGCAAGAGCTGTGCCCTCCAATGGAGAACCCATACACTGAACAGGTGTTTTATTTTTTAGGAAAAACAAGAGTACTAAACAGTGTGAGAAGGAGGTGGAATAAGAGTTTGCAATGTCTTTCATGACAAGACAGCTAAAATCACACCTGACTATTTATTTTGAAGTCAATTAAATTGGGCTAGTATCCATGAGGTGTTTTTCACCACTTTAGCCACCCTTATGAATCAAGTATTTTTCTTTTGTCTCCACCATTACGTAATGAAGGAAACAGAAAAGGGTGGCAGGGAACCTGATTGTTGAGGGTGCTGGCAAATGCACAAAGAGATAGAAGTGAGAAAAGAAAAGTGTACTATACTATACTCTCTCACTACACTCTCACTGTTTAGTAATCTTAAATTCTCTATAATTGTGTATCTCAGACCATGATATATTTTCAAGTTAAAGATGCTACTACAATAAATACTTTTGTTTTTCTGCCTTATTCTTTTCTTTCTGACAGAGTGTCTGTTCACATTTGAACCATTTTGCAGGTGACTTAAGTGCTTTGCTGTTAGCTGCACCCAGGCTTATCTTTGGCTTTTATTTGTTCCATGTTCCCCCTTTTTTGATGAGGAAGACCATCATCTTCAAGGCATGAAAGGTCATCTCTAGTAATTTCTTCAAACATTATAAAAGCAAATAAACGGAGTTGAAAATCAATTTTTGGGGCTTCAAAAGAGCTTTGCCTTTAGCTTTATTTATTTATTTACATTTATGATCTTCAAAGCAATTATAAGTATCTTCCAATCTTCCGGTTGGATTTTTTTCCACTATGAATACTGCCTTCAAATGTAGTCACAAAGCCATCATCCTTAATGTGCATTTTTTTAAGGGATTTACTAGAGATGGTTTTTGAAACTGTCGAAAACACCTTCTGTCTTCCACTGTCTGAGGGTTATACAGTGGAGAGAGATAACAGTCAGAATTTTTTTACCTGCTTTTCCACACAAAAGGAGGTGCCTCTATCCCTCAGTGGAAAGGTTGCATGCAAAGACTAGTGGTACTTTACAGTACAAACTACAAATAAACTTAAGCTGGCTATAAAATCTTTACAGGATTTTCTTTTTTTGCGTATGGATTTCCCTGCTAATGTAAAGCCATAGATGGGTCATCAGCTAGTTTTGCCACTGTCACGCATAAGCACAGAGGGCAGTGCTGTCTCTTAAGGATGTCATACCTACCTACAAATACTTGTTGAAACTGCAACTAGCTCTATGTTAGCCTGAGTCAGGCAGAATGGCATGGGAGATCAACTGGCTTTGTGTCAGCTTTACTGGTCTGGGCTGTGTTGACACAGGGAGTAAGTCAGCAGAAACACTTGACTGCTCATCTCTGCAGCAAATAATCCAAACAGTGCAAACAAAGCAAACCCAAAGTGTGCCAGCACACATTATTTTATTTGTAAAAATAACCCTCTATGTTTGCTTTCTTATTTTGTGAGCCCAAGAGGATCAATCTGTCCTGTTAAATAAGCTCAGCTCTCTACCAAGAAATAGATGTTGCCTTTTGAATGTAAAAATAGTTAATTCTCAAATGTGTAGGCATATGCAGAGAGCTGCCCTATAGCCACATCTTGTCCCATAAATGACCTGACATCCCAAACCAAATATGCATTTCCCACTGGTGTCCTCAAGACAGGAAAGAGCTTGCCTTTTATCATGACCTTTGACTATTGGACTTGGAATGACCTCTTGTGGACACATGTGGTTTGCCTCCTATAGGACGAATGTTTCTGATCAAAAATAGGAGACCACACAGTGAAAAAAAAAGTACAGTGTACAGTCTGGTCCCCAGGTTTTTAGTTACTGTCAGTAAGTACCATGTACTTCCAGATTTCAGGGCAGAGACATGAAGCAGGTAATAAGGAGTAAATGAAATGTGTGTTGACAGCTGAAAGATGACCAGGTGCATCTGTGTAACATCGGTTTAGGTGACAGAGCCCTGTTTCCCTAATGAAAAAGCTGCATTGCTAAGAGATCCAGCATGGATATCATTACAGACTCTACCATTGATTATGTCAGTACAGGGTGGTCCATGTTTCTGCTAAATAAATGCCAGATGCCTGGATGTGAATCACTTGTAATCAGAGGAGCTTTGTTTTCTTACTATCAGTGCGCTGAAGGCTGACTGAGCCAGATGAGTGCTCTCCCTATCAGCAGTAAAGCTGATGAGCCTCGCCTTGTTGAGGCAGTGGTAAGGTGTTCACAATCTTCACTGTGTATTTTAGGGGTTGCATTACATCTTTATAATGAACTATAGAAGAAAAAGGCTTAAAGCTTGCGTGTCCCTCTACTTTCCAAATCCATCCCAAAATCTGAAATGCCCAGCCCCACCTAACAGTGCTCTCTGAGGTTTCTCTTCATACCTTCATCAGTGCAAAAGTGGGTGTGCCAGCATCAAGCCAGCAGCTTTGTGATAGTGTTCCCTGTCAAGTAGAGCTGTTGCACATGTACAGATGGCTCGGCTGCAGCTGCTCAGAACAGGCTCTTGTTTTCTGTTGGTTTTTTGTGTGTGTTTTGGTGTTTTCTTTCCTCCAGTGGGAAGGGTGAAGCATTGTCACACAGTCAAACCTATAGTTTTTAACTGCATGGGCAGGCATCACTGTATGGTTTATTCTGAGGACTCACTTTTAAGTGAGTTTTGTTTTGAGCCGGTTGGATTTTTTTCCACTATGAATACTGCCTTCAAATGTAGTCACAAAGCCATCATCCTTAGCTTGACTTCATCTGTGAACTAAGAGTGTGCTCAGGTAGTCTGGAGCCAGCTATGTGCTACTGCATCTCCTAGGGAAGGACACTGCTGTTTTTCCTAGCATGACTTGTCTATTGTAATGAATGTCCAGTGTTCTTTTCTTAAGTTTGTACCACAGAAATATCATCAACACAGGCCACATTGCAGGTGGCCATGTTTCTTATGTCCCCTGTGTGACTAAACGTGAACTTTTAAGAAAGCAGTTCTTTAAAGAACTGTTTTTGAGGTCATCCACACCTCTTCCCCTTCCTCTCCTGGTGCCCCTCCAAAAACCTTCTGCTTATGAGACTTGCATTCTGGCAGACAGCTGTTCACAGCACTGCTTGAGAAAGAAGATGTGGTTGAGTGGAGGAGCAGGTTTTCACTTCAGATAAACCTTGTTGCTGTAAATGTGGTTATGCTGGCAGGGCAGATTTGCTGCTAGTTTGTTTCTTCTTTCATAGCAACAGCCTGTTCCTTTGTTTATATACTTCTCACTTGTCTTTGGCACTGTTTGCATTTGTGTTGCAGTTTAGTTCTAGACATGTAAATATGTTGTCTTGAGACATAAAAAAATTGAGAGATGTGAAAAGCCAGATAAACTCTAAGTTTTCTTCCTAGAGAGTTGCCGAAGAGTTACACAATTAGGAGTAATTTTTAATAGCTATCTTTCAGAAATGTTTGGGGTTTTACTATTTTGCCTGTTTCCTAGACAGTGGTGTTTGTTTCATGCCCTTTGTCCTGCAAACTTAGATTTTTTGAATGATGCCAGCAAAACCAGTAAGACCATCCTATGCATCAGTTATATTCTGAACCCAAACCCTTCTGCTTCATGTACTTCTGTTTAGAAAATTATAAAACACGAGAACTTTGAGTGTTATGGTTCTGGCCTCAAGCCCATGAATCCAAATGCCACTTGGAGCATGGCATAGCTCCATGACCTGCCTGCTTCCTTCAAGCCCAGCTGCCTTCCTGTCTGCAGGCAGCCAGGCTCTGCTGACTGGCCACACTTGCTGTTGAGCGCAACGACTTCCCTCGCCCCTGCACGCAATTCTTAGCATGCTCCTGAGCTATCTTTCCACTGCCTGATTTTGCACTTATGTCCAGGTGCTGTCCTTTTGTCCATCTGTACAGTGTAGATGGATGCAAAATTGGTTTTGCTGTGGGGAATTTTTTTTTATGGGTAACTGTGCGTGAGGCACTATTGCATCTGTGTTTGCAGGGTCAGCCAGGCACTGGATCCTCAGAGGGCAGCTGTGGCTTCACAGCCCTTTGTCACTGAAGCAGAGGGTCATTTCAAAGTGTAGGCTTTTATTTCAGTAGGCTTGAGCATGTGTGCCAAGTGATCATTTATTCTGATTTCATCTGGATTTTTTAATACCTTCTTCATTGCCTAAAAATATGTTGCAGAGCATGAGCAGGGGTTTGAAATTAGAAAGTAGCAACTTTGGTTAAAGGCTTTGGCATATAAGCACTTTTATTAAAAATTAAGAGCTCAGTTAAATCCAGAGTGGCAGATATGAATTGTGCAAATTAGGCTGTTAGGAAAAAAACTTTCTAGCCTTTTGATATTGCATTGTGTTCATTGTATATCAGCATGCAATAAAATGTTACATTCTATACAGACTGTATTAATATAGGAAGAGGAGAAAATTAGTCTGATAAAGTCAAACCTATTGATCCAGAAAAACAGCCAAAAACATAGGTCAGTGTTTTTAAAATTTTGGAAGGTTGTATATACATAGGCAAAAGTAATTTTTTATTACTTTTGAATTATATTCAAAATAAAGATTTAAAACTCATGATCAAGCAGCTGTGTTTAAAGTTTTCTATAAGAAGAGTCCACAAGCATCCTCTTGCATCTGCTCTCTCGGGTACTCAATACTGAAAGACTTGAGTATTGAATGGGCTTGTAGTGATCTAGTTACTTGTATTGCTGACTTTAATGAACATCAATTTCTTTTGTGTCTTAATCAGAATTTCTACCTGGCAAACAAAGGGAAGAATGAAAGCAAAGAAATGAATGACAAAAACAAAGAGGCTTTGCTGGAGGTAAGCCAACTTTCTTGGTTGATGATTCAAATGTCAACAAAACTCTGCTTCCATCTGCATCTGCTTTACAACAACAGCGTTTATTTCTTTGTGGGCAAATGTGTAACAACAGGAAGTTCTGTGGTGGTTGATGTCTTTGTGTCTGAGGTTTAATATGTGGATTTTCCTCTGCATCTGCTGCTTGCTATTAAAAATGTAGATTGTATCCCCTATCAGAGAAACTATATGATGGAGTATTATTTTGTTGTTAGAGAAAATGCCATTAGATGTTTTTACTTAGTGTTTCTATGAAGAGTAATGCCATGGTAACAATAAAAGCACTGTTAACCAAACATGGATAGAAAAAGCAGCTATGCCACACCCTTAGGCCAGCCCTTGTGACTTTATATTGTTAGTGAAGTTGATCAGTAGTGGACTGGAAGTAGATGTACTTCTCACTTTTATTGCCTTCAACACTTCAACTGAACACATCTATGTATAGTTAAAACTTTTTGCTGTTTTTTGTATGAACCTTTAGAGAACGGAGGTTTTGTGAGCCTTCTTTTCCAGTGTGAGCACCCAAATCGCATGGCCAAGTTACCACATTACATTGAAAGTGTTTCCTTTGCCTGTCTAAGGTGTTCATCTTCCTGGTAGCTGCATTCCCCATGTTCATATGTTCACTGTTACAGCAAATGTCTTTATTTTTCAAGGGAGCATTTTTCTGCTCTTTATTAATACTGTTGTCCTTACATCAGTTTATTTCGTGTATTATTATTCTTGTTGCACAGGAAAGCTTCTGTGGGACATCTGTCATTGTGCCAGAGCTTGAAGGGGCCCTTTATTTAAAAGAAGATGGAAAAAAGTCCTGGAAGAGGCGTCATTTTATTCTACGAGCTTCTGGAATGTATGTAGCCAAAGGAAAAACCAAGGTCAGGAAGCCAAATAATCCTTTTCGCAATAAAACAATTCATGGAGGTGAAAGTGAAGAACTCCCAAGGTGATATTTTAAGAGCACTGTCTGGTCCATCTGAGAGGGTTCTGTGTTTTTTTTGGTTTAACTTTGACTACACCACTTGTGCAAATATTAGAATGTAGTCACTGAATCCTGTCACGTTTCTCTCCTTTATATTTCTGTGGATAGATAAAAGCATTAATGAAATAGCACTCCTCCAGAAGTCAGAAAGGGCAAGAAAAACAGCACAGCACCCTTCAGCTGGTGTTACATTGCCAAAATGCTGCACTGTTATGTTGGTTCCCTCTGGAAGAATATTTCAGAAGTCCTCAAGTAAACTTAATTTCTTATCACAAAAAAAAGTGGAATTTTACTTAGTTTGATGCTGACTTTCTGCACCAGTAACCAGCATGCAGAAAGGGGGTGTTTTTTCCTTCAGGGACTTTTACCTAGACAGTGCATTGAGCCTTTTCAGGCTCCTTAAGACTGCTCTTTGTATAGAAAGAAGTTAGAAAGAAGCATCTGCCTGACTGAGTCAAATGTACTGACATTTAGTATTGCAAAGTATTTAAATAGTCTGAATTGTCTGCACTGGAGAAGCAAAGGGGTCTTGGACATGTTGCGCAAAAGGGTGCTGGTTTCTCATTTCCACAGTGATGAGGTGGAATGGTGTGTTCTGGGACCAGTGGTTTTTTGTGTGTTTTGTTGCTTTGTTTTTTGCTTTGTGTTCTGAAACCCCCTTTGTTTGCCACTTACACCTCTGATAATGCTTCATATATACAAATTTTGGTGCTGGTAATGGAGCTATACTGTTATGATTTGTGCTGTGAAACTTAACTGTTCTGCTATTTCCTTACTAAATTACAAAGGAAAAAAAAACGTAACCAAACCAAACCTGATAGCTTGTAAAGGAATTCTGTGCTGCTGCTCTAGTGACCTGTGTTTATAACCAAGTCTTAGTGAAACAGAGGCCTAGATTACCTTGCTGCTTTCACAGCAATGTAAGTTGACTTTACCTGACCCTAAGAGAATGGTTTTCAGTCCTCAAAACATGTTGTACACACGCAACATCCTATCAGTTAGGAACTAGAATGCTATTTGGAAGGCACTTAAGGTAGAATGAATATAAGAACAGTTTAATGAAAAGTCCATCTTGGACATTTTCTTGTAGCCTACCTCCAGGAGTGGCCAGTAGCACAGGGCCAAAGCCGGGCAATCATGTACTGATAGTTAACCAGCTTTTTTTCATCATCCAGTGATACCCATTTCAGTGACTTTCCATCCTAGTGCAAATGGGTAAAGTGCTTTCTTTTTTCAGGTGACAGACTGCAAGCATCTGCTCAGGATGGACTCATGCAGTCACCTTGTAACACCCATTTTAGTTTAGCACTTTATAGCCTATTAGTCATTGCAGTCTGTGTACAAACCTGCCCAATACGGAGCCATTTTAAGGGACCATGTGGGTGCTTCAAACTCACTGTATTACCAACTCAGCCACTCACAGTGACTGAGGACTTTGAATCTAGTCCTTTAGGAAACAGTCACCGATCTTTAAAATTGTACCATAATCAACTGTTTGCTTCTGCTTCTCTAACTGCCTTCAGCAAAAGGATGCATATGTCCATGACTTAGCCATTCCAGAGGAAGTCAAGTCTCTTGGCTTAAATCTGTGTTTAATAGTGGTCTAAGTTAGTTAATGGACTCTGCATTGGAACAGCTGAGGCTCAGGTACACGTCTTTTATTGAGACAGTAGTCTCTGGCAGATGAGCAGAGTGCTAAAGATGATAGCACTGCAGCAGAACTCAGTAATGCTCTTTAGTCAGAGCCCTAAAATTATGAGAGTTCATCATCCCCTGTCACTGTGGTATGAAGAGTGCACATGCACCTTGCTGCAGTCCTTCAGTTGGGTGTAGAGTGATCTTTCATTGGAGTACAGAAACAAACAGTTGGCAGACAATAATATCTTCAGCTGCTGCAGCTGTTTTGAAATTGATTGTCTACTAAAGTTTTCACTTCTTACAAAAAAAGTAAGAAGTCTAGCATACCTCTGGCACTTCATGTTGGCTGTAAAATACATTGCACATGTGGAAAATACAAGGAGTCATTCAGATAATTTTACACACTTGCATTTGGTTTTTTTGTTGTTCAGGGTTTTTTTGTTAACAAACCAGGCACCAGTCAGCACTGCTGTCTTATGCCTGGTTTGTTAACAAACCAGGCAGCAGTCAGCACTGCTGTCTTAATTTTTTTCTTCAGCCTTATTCTACTTATATCGTATTCAAAAAAATGCTGTTAATGTGCAGGGTCACAAAACCACAGAATGAGAATTGCTGAAACAATAATTTATTTCTCTTAATTGTGTTGTTTGATTATGCTAATGTTGCAGAAATACTAGCAATAAGTTCTTTTGTCCCTTGCATAAAAATGTGTTCATTCAAAGAAGGTAACAACTGTGTTCATATTGGTCCTAATTGCCATTACCTGGTTCATAAAGGAAAGGAACATCTCATTATACTGCACAGATTTGAGCATGTCTAGGAATTTAGTGTTGGAAAATCCTTGGTCCACGCAGTCAATGGCAAAATCCCTGACACGAGCTTTGGGGGAGAAAAGGGAGAGAGGGAAGCCCTGTCTACATACAGTATGGAGTGTTTTCTCACCCCACAAATCTAACTTGCAAACTCGATTCGTCAGTAAACCCAACTTAAGGGACTGTTGTAATGAAAGTATCAAGAAGAATGAGAACAGCATAAAAGAACCATAATATGCAGAAATATAACCCCCTTCCTAGGGGTAGAGAGGTTTGCGGTTTGGTTTTTTTGTGTGTTTTTTTTTACTTTCACAATTTCCCTGTTTCTCAATTTAGCCAATAGTGACCGCATGACAAGACCATTTTCAACTAAAGAATTGCAAAAGTTATGCTTAGTATGCAGAATTCCGCACTGAGAAGTGTGTCAGCAACAGAAACCTTGTTACTTTAGCAACATGTTGTGACCAAGCAAATATTATGATAAACAGAAAAGGAATGATGCCAGGAAAATTCAGAAAATTCAAAGCAGAATAGCTAAAACATGTCTATTTCCTGATGAGAGTTTGTCTGTTAAATACACACCAAAAAAAAACCAGCTCCCAAAGCAATTTAGAATTCTAGCTCCACATAGAATTGTAAGGGTGTGGTTGCAAGTCCTATATCTATTTTACTGAAGTTATTTCTTCCTATAGTGTTTGATTTGGTCTTGTTAGCCATAAGCCAAAATTTCCACACAAAGCAATAAAGCACAGCAAAGCTAGAACAAGAGTAAAATGCTGCACAACATTATATATTATTCTAATATGTATGGACCCTTTCCCAATTAGTGTAAGAATACACACACTTAAGATACATCTTCAGTCAGCTTCATGACACTAAAAAAATAAAAAGCATTGGCATTCATGCACTTGAAAGAAGTCCAATTAATGAATTTCACATCAAAATTCAGGTGTTTTTAACACTGATGTGCCTGGTTTCCATTTGCAGACATCCCGGGATCTGGCCTGTTTTGTTCAGTTTGAGAATATGAACATTTACTATGGCTCTCAGCACAAAGTGAAATACAAGGCACCTACAGATCACTGCTTTGTCTTAAAGGTAATGTACAAGAAAAATAAGTTCTGCAAATGTCATACCCCGTTTCTTTTATACGTAGACATGTTTAAGTTTGAAGTTCGAGGTACCCTGATGAGACAGAAAATGTCCTGCAAAATCATGTTGATCTTCTTCTTCATTGTTCTAAATATACCTTTAAAACCTTAGCTGCTAGTCCTGTGATAGATCTCTACACTGCATCTATAAAGCTGTCTTCAAAACAAGGCTGAATATGCTTCCAGTGACTGACCATTCAGATGACTGGATTCATCTGGACAAATGGCATACAAGGCAGATGTATGTTGAGAAGATTGGGAGTTGCTAATGTTGACAATCTGAGCACTATGGACTATATATTAAAAAGTATACCTACTTTTTATTTGTAATGTAGTCATACCTGTTGAGTAGTTTTTGAACTGAGATTCAAAATCTTGCATGAATAGACATCTCAGATGGCATATATTATTTTACAAGTGTTTGTGGCAGAAGGACAAAAGACATTGTTCATCCACTCACGAAAATCCGTGTCTGCTGCTCGAGTATCTCATTGCTGCCTCTCCAGGTAATAGCCCTGCAAACAGTCTGGGAGTTCTGCATTTCTCTCAGGAAAGGAAAAGAAGCCCATGCCTTGCACATAGTTTAGATAGCAGAAATGAAGCTTTGGGGTTGCAGTAATTGGGCCTTGCTTGCCATGTCGTTAATGCAGATTTTGGAATACAGTGGGACTACTGTGCACGAAACAGAAAATAATCTTGCTGCTGCTTCTCTATTTAAAGGTCTGCAGTGCAAACAAGTTACTGGAAAACACAGTATTTTGCCATCTCAGAAAACAAAGTGCAGTAAACAGTCACATCAGAGGTCACTTATAATACCACACTTCTGCTTGTAGCTGCACACTTAAAGCACTTTTGTGTCCAGCTTCAAAATGTCTGCAAGCCTAATTTACACATGGCCAAGCAGAAGTGGTTTATAGACCCAGACTTACTTTCTGAAGCAGATGTAGCTAATCAACACAGATGAGCAGTTTTAATATTATAGTTCTCTGCAAAATAGTCTGCAAAAGCCACTTTGTCCATTTTTGTAAAACAGGGGTGAGCCTTCTGAAGTTAACAGGTAAGCATTGTTTCTGAAAAATACAAATTCTAATAAAAAAATGAAAGGGGGAGCTGGTTTAAAAATCAGCAGAAATTGATTTTCTAAACAGATGACTGGTCTAAGAAGTATCTGACTAATCTAATAAATTGTTCACATTCTGTTTAGATGAAAACAGGACCATGATTTTTGAAGCGTATGTAGCAATGAGTTTAACTTCACAATGATTAGGAAAAGCTTCTGGACTTACTGCCATCTTTTGTGAGAAGAGGTGTGCTTTAAGTAAGAACTGACACAAAAAAAAGTCACAACTCAAAATACTTGCTGTATTGCATGTGTGATGTTTGTGCTGTACCATCAACATGAAGGAAAACGTGAAGAACGTTTACAAGGTTCTTCTTACAAAGCTTACAAGGGAAAGCTTTATGTGTAATAGGCTTATAAATTTATGAAACCTACTTAGCAAAACTGTTTGCTCTGATGCTTCTAAAATGTGTTTGCAGTATACTAGAATAAACATTATATTGATAAGATCATTATATCTGAGCAACTCTACTTAGTGATTAATAGATTATGGTATAGTGGTTGTTCTTTTGTTTAATTCCCATAAGTCAGCATTTGGTAGATTCCTGACCAGCTCAGTTTCAGATTTGGCTTCTTTTAACAGCCGCTTCTTGCAGTGTTTGGTGTTGGTCGGGAAGTATGGGCAGGTATTGAAATCTTCAAATCTGTTGTTTCAAAAGTAGAAGCCTGTCACTTAGGGTGGCTTTCTGAGGGTGATGCAATGGAGAGTTCAATTTTTTTATCATTTCTGTACATTAATTTGAATTCTTATCTACCACTTTGAGGGCATGTACCTGAGATGAGTTCTGTCATATCCTCTTACCTTTGGAAGTTGGAGCTGAGGATGTGGTACATCTAGAGATCTGAGGGCAGAGGGAAAGA